TATATTTGAAAATGCCCCTTAAGACCAATTGTTTAATTTCATTTTTTTTTTTTTTTTTTTTTTTTGCAAAATTAAAATTCTTGGTAAACCAGGTATATTTGAATTTAACATTTATAAATACTTGTGAAAATGAATGAAATGACAAACAAAGCAAACAAAACCATATGTAAGTTCTCCAGACAACCAAGTAAAACTTTGCATATAGCCATTTTTGGTAAAGTCACTGCAGTTGTAATCAGCAGAAGTAACAGGAACAGGAAGTTGGACTCACAGTTTCGCAGCAGGCCGGGTCCAGCATGGAAGCTGGAGTGCTGAGTAAGCTGAGGAGCTGAGCGCTCCTCCATTGCTCTGCAGGCAGGTTCCTCCGAGGGTAGACCGTCTTTAGTGAAAGCAACGCTGCTGTCACAGACTAGGGGTGGGACAAAAGAGGAAAGACTAATTTGAGAAAAAAAACTTAAAAAATGCAAACATTAGGTATACTATGCAATAAGAACAATTTTATGCATTGCCTAATAACAATAAATGTGAGTTGAATTTACCCTTGTGTGAGGGCCAAACTCTTCAGTCAGCTTCTTCCATGGATGGTCATATTCCACAAACATCTGTCCAAGCCGTGGGTATGAGGGATCGCTGCAGGATTTTAGCGTGGCAAGCAGAAATGCAATAAATTCCCAGGAGAGAAATAGAAAAAAAATTCTCACATCAGAGTCTGATGGACATTTTACAGACAGACTGTTTAACATGACATGTAAAAGAGGGTTTAACTGGGCGTGCGTGCGTGCGTGCGTGCGTGCGTGCGTGCGGGAGTGCGTACGTGTGTGTGTGTGTGTGTGTGTGTGTGTGTGTGGACTTTCTCAAATGAAATATGACTTACATGTCAAGTGTAAACAGCTTTCTATATCTGTTGGTATCCTTTCTATAAGAAATCTTCTGCTTTGCTGTGTAAAAACAACTTGAGTACCAAGCCAGCTGAAATGTCACCTTGTTGTCAAAAATGTATTGTAATAAGGCCATTGAGAATCTGATTTTGAGTCAGTAATATTGAGTGATGAAAATGAATTAAATTAATTATAGCTGCCTTCAAGAAGTTTTCATGTTGCCACCTGCAGAAGATGCTCTCCAGGTTCTCTGATTTCATCCAACAGTGAAACAACGTGCATTTTTGATTAACTGGTTACCGATCTGCCTCATAGGTGTTAATATGTGTATCAATCATCAATCATGTCTCATGCAAATCTCCAGTATGTTTCCCTGCAAGATTGACAAGCTTCCCAAGATACACTCCATGTCCCATCCTTTAACTGATAAACACCAGTGACCCTGACCAGGGATAAGTGGGTACAAAAAGGGTCAAAGTAGCAACACATCCCTCAATTTAAAGTCTATAAAGCTTGAGATCAAGATACAGCTACTGATTTTTATTTTTTTTAAAATCCAGTTTGAATTAATGATCTAAAAGGCTATTGACATAAAAACGCTTTCTCCTTGTTATTCATAAAGCTTATACAAGAACACTGTTAAGTTAAAACATTAAGTACATAATATTTATAGTTAAGCGAGGTAAATGGCACAACTGAGTTTTAATGGAGATATTTTTTGTTAAATGCCTCAGTAAGACCAATACAGGCCAGACTTACAAATACAATCTACTGCTGGTTTGTTTTGGTCAATAAATACTAAGGTGAAGGTTAAGATCTAAATTATTTCAACCTTCAAGTATAAAAAATATCCCTGAAGAAACAGACAACCCATGTTTTTATGTTTGAAGTGAGGCAAGGATGCGATTATAAGATCCATTCTGCAATTTTCTCACCTGCTGCCATTGGTCATCTCATGAGCACAGTTGAACATTCCCACCAAGACCTTTTTGTCATCAATGCGAGAGAGCAAGATGATAACAGATGCATAGGTGCTTAACAGGTCCAGATAGTTTTTGGTGAAATCGAAGTTGGAAGCCTAAATTAGAAAAAAAAAAGCAGTATGTAATCATCCCTTCATTTTTTTTTCCACATTACCTTAAAACTTAGCTTTTGAGATCTTACACACAACAATGTTGAAAGCACATGATATAAAACAGGGTGTAAAATGAAAGAGTGATCTACAGTGGTCACTAAAGTAAACTAAAATATGTCACAGCTGACATATTTTATAACATCAAGAGGCAATGTTTAAAGTCTTAAGGTTTTGACAAAGCAACTCTGTAGGTACATACAATATCAAAGAAGCACTGGCAGGCATCAATGGTGTTCAGCAGTTCATAAACATGATCCTGAAAGGAAGACAGAGAATTATTATTATTATTTTTTTTAACAATAGTAATGACAATAATAAAGTAAGTGTTTTAAGCAATATTTCAAAACAATTGCTCTTATTCTAAACAACTGGGAGATATAGTTTATTGGCATTAGGGATAAATCTCATTATTGTTATTGTTCACCTCTCATCACATTTTCATGGTTTCTCTGCAAGGCCAAAACATCCATCAGAAGATTTGACTTAATAATTTAAGTTTCAAATCAATGTGAGGAGATAATTATTTTTATAACGATAATGATTTTTACCTCAACTGTATGCATGAGAGACAGACGGACAAATGGAAATAAGTCGAACTCTAATATTTTTCCAATATTCTGTTATAATCATCTTGCTGTAAAGTAACTGAACCAGTTCAGTAGTTGCACCATCTACTGACCAAAAGTGGTTACTGCAGCTTCTTAAACAAAGAAGTTAAGAAGTTTAATTCTTAAATCTGGTTAGTTTTAGTTCTTTCAGATTCTTGTTTGCATCTTCCTGTGATAAAAAAATAAAATAAATATATCTTTACATGATTTAATAAACAACTTGTGAGAAAATGAGAATCAAAGTTTTTTTTGTTTTGTTTTTTTCCTCTTGAACATTTGGAAACTAAAGAATGATATATAACTTGTTTACTATGTCACAGTTTTCTGTTTAAGAAACATTCATTAGAGTCAAAGTGATGTCAAAGTTATTCAGTTTTTATTTATGGGGAAAAAAAGAGTCACTGAGCAGGAGGAAGATGACAAAAAGTATAATCACCCTGAACTCTATGACATCCAGGAAGGAGTCGTAGAAGCTTGCTGTGGCTGCTAATACCTCAGATTTCTGTCGCTGGATGCAGGTCAGGTTTTGCTGTAATATTGAAAATAATAATTACTGGTGATGTGTAAAGGTCAATGAAGGGAAACATAATATCACATGAGGTAATAAAATCTGCTTACAATGTTTCCTCTGAAGTCAATATTAGGGAATTTCTTATTGATGTACTTGACTGCAGGTTCCATCACTTTATCTGTGAGGAAGCCTGGACGCAGCTTGGGATCTGTACATAGCTAGAGAAAGGGGAAAAAAAGGAAACAAATGATTAAATAATTAAAGTTGCAATTATAGGAAGTGGTTAAAATATTACTGAGGAATGTTTTAGATTTAAGCAACTTCTAGATAAAAGTTAAAACA